TTACAGCAAGTGGCAAATACTGGTTAACACCCGAGCTATAATCCAGAATTGAAACTGTATCTATAGAATTGCATAATAATATCTATATAAAAAGAATACAAATCTCTGCAGAAGTAATGATTTCAAAGAAAAGGCAAAAGTAATAAGAAACAAGGATCCAGAAACAATAGATAAAATATGATGGCTTCTCACATCCACTGGAGTTTTGTAGCAATGAGGATGAATTACTGACAGATGTACATCGATGTTTGACATCCAATTCTGCAATTAAGTTTGTTTCGAGAATGAGCATTTGATACCATCCAACCCTTCAGATTGTACCAGATAGGCAGAAATATTATTTGAAAATCTCCTCAGGTTCCCAGAAACCTTTACTGAGAAACAGGTTTTCAGGAGAGAGACTATAAAGCTTCTCTGGGATCTTTACACTGAAACCTGGGTCTGTAAAAAGTATTCCAAGACCAAAGATTGTTGCTTATAGGATGGCTTCCTATTCCTTCCAAAGCCAGGATGTTTTGGTAACAAAAATTATAAAGCCTTATCTCCCTGACAGCTTTATTTGGCCATTTCTCCAAAGTCATAAGATTCTCAGTCACAAGCAGTAAACCATGAAATTGTTTGTTTCATTTCCAAGAAATCAGATAGAAAAAACACTTCGCAATTTCGGTCCTCATCGGTCAATATTTTACAGTTTTCCAGATGGTCCTTCAATATTAATACATTTCCAAAATAAAGTTCATCCCTGAGAAAAAAAAACCATTTCAAAGTGTGATTTCATTATGAGGTAGTCATGAAAGCATATACAAAATAAGACACTTGGAAATAAATGTGGAAACAAACATTCAAACATTTTCAGTCATTCATTCGTTGTATAAAATCTACACATTCTCTCATTGCCCTCTTTATCTCCCAATATTCCACAATATGGCATTCTTGACAGTACTTCAGCAACCGTATTATCTTTCTGCCAATACGAAAATCTTTACATTATTGTGATAAATTAGCTAACTGCAGCAAAACAGTCTTCTATTTTAATATGCAAATTTCTTTATGAAAGGATTATGATCTGTTTATAATGGCTTTTCTTTGTGGTTCTGACAGGCATCAACTTCTAGGTATTTCAGAGCTGGTAACAATTCCAGAGCTTCCTTTTTTTTAGAAAAGTACTCCACTGGCCTCTCTCTGCCAGAATCATCTTCTTATAACAACACAGCACCCACATGCACCCTCACACCCACATCACTAGCATCAATCACCATTTTGAAGAGTTTAGTGAAGTCGGGGTGTCCAACACTGTTTCACTTCTTAGGACTGCCTTCAGTTTTCTTGGCCCACTGTTGATCATATTACCTTTGCCTGCTTTTGCAATAAATCTAATGGGGTATCATTCTGAAATCTGATACAAACATTTCTAAAAATCTATTGATTTCCTATTGAGTTACAGAAACTAGAAATTCTATCAAAGCCTTTAATTCTGCTGTCATTAGCAGGTCTTGCCCTTGCACTATAATGTGTCCCTGATATGTTACCCACAATTTCATAGGCTCACTCTTAGCAGGATTTACTGCTACATCAGCTAACTGTAGCTGTTTAAATAAGGCTTCCAATTGTGTATTTTAGGATCTTCCAATATATGGCTGTATTAATTCATTGTCGAGGCAAACTTCACAATGAGATACATTAGTTATGATTCACAAGTGATCAGAAAGATGCCAAAATGTTTTTGAACTGAAATGGCATAACTCACTACCATATAGGGGAAGTGATGGCTAAATGATGTTGTTGCTAGACTGTTAATTCAGAGACCTAATTAATGTTCTGAGGACCTGGGTTCAAATCCTGCCACAGCAGATGGTGAAATTTGAAATCAATAACAATCAGGAATTAGGAGTCTGATGATGACTATGAATTGATTGTTGGGAGAAGCCTATCTGGTTTACTAATGTTCTTCAGGGAAGGAGATTACCATCATTGCCTGGTTTGCTCTATTTGTAATACCTCACCCACAGCAATGCACACAGCTCTATACACTTTGATTAGGTTTAATCAAATGATTTTCAAACATATACTAAATCTGTGTTTTCAACTGAGCTTCTTTTTTCAAGATTTAAATAATAAGGAAGTTGTTTATTGATGCAGATTTCCCCACATTACAGGATGTGGGTTCGAATCCCATCATGGCAGAGGGTGGAATTTGAATGTTTAAAAAACTGAAATATAAAGCCATGTAATCACTGTTGATTGCCATTACAACCAGTTTGGTTCACTGATGATCTTTAGTAAAGGAAATCAGCCATCATTTCCCAGTCTGACCTCTATGCGCCTCAATGTCCACAGCAATGTGGTTGAGTAATAACTGTCCTCCAGGCAATTAATGATGGGCAATAAATGCCAGGCTAGCCAGTGATGCCTACATCCCAGGAACAAAGATATTAAAATCCACATATTTCTTGATAAAATCGTACATCATGCTTTTTCTCTATATATTTCCTTAGATTCCTGAGTCCTTGCACCTTACGAGATTGTCCTGTTGACGTTCCTCTCAGTGGGAAAATATGATGTGTATCAGTCCCATTACTTCAGTATTGGCTTAAAGAGGCAGGTACAAATTCTGAATTGCCTACAACTCTTTCTACCTCACTCTTACTGTCGCTGTCTTCTTACTCTATTCTTTAGTAAGCTGATATACTTGCTAATTTTTATCTACTTCACCGCAATGGCTTCATTTCAATATGTGAATGTGACTTTTCTTCCTATGAATTTGACTCACCACCAGTATCCCCACTTCAAAAAACTTCTTAACTATTTATATGGGCCACTGAATCTTGTAGGAATCCTGCTGTAATGATAACGATACCAACACATCATCTCCTGTTTGATGCATTCTGGTTTCAGCATGCATATCTGTCCAATCTTTCATTTTTGCCTGTGAACTTTTTAAATAGCCACATGGTATTTTGCATCCTATACGAGTCTCTCCAGAAACACGAGCACATAATCTATCACAGTGGATTAATCTTTTGTCCTAAAACCTTTTGCTTAATTAATTATTATGCATCATTTACCTCATGACCATCAATAAACCTGAATGCATTAAACACAACAGATTCATTTGGTGAATCACTGGTAGCAAATCATAGAAAATCCAGTCATTTGTCCCAATCAAGAGGGATATTGGTTACAGAGATAGCAAGAACTGCAGATGCTGGAGTCAGAGACAACACAGTGTGGAGCTGCAGGAACACAGCAGGCCAGGCAGCATCAGAGGAGCAGGAAAGTTGACATTTCGGGTCAGGACCCTTCCTCAGAAATGGGGAGGGGGAAGGGAGCTGGGAAATAAATAGAGAGGAGGGGTGGGGCTGGGTAAGGTAACTGAGATGGTGATAGGTGAGTGCAGGTAGGGAGTGGTGGGGATTGGTCAGTGGGATGAGTGGGGCGGATAGGTGGGAGAGAAGATGGACAAGTTGTGTCAGGTAAAGAAGGCAGGGATGAGAGGGAGGTTTGGACATAGGATGAGGCCAGTGGTGGGGAGATTTTAAAACTGATGAATTCCAGGTTTAGACCATTGGCCTGTAGGCTCCCGAGGTGGAATATGAGGTTCTGCTCCTCCAGTTTGCAGGTGGTGTCATTGTGACACTGGAGGAGGCCCATGATGGACATGTCACCCAGGGAGTGGGAGGGGGAGTTAAAATGGTTGGCGACTGGAAGGTATTGTCGTTTGTCACATACAGAGTGCAGGTGCTCTACGAAATGGTCTCTGAGTCTACATTTGGTCTCACCTATGTAGAGGAGGCCACATCAGGAGCAGCAGATATAGTAGACCAAGTTGATGGATGTACAGGTGAACCCCTGTCTGACATGAAAGGTTTGTTTTGTGCCTTGAATGGAAGTGATGGGGTTGGGGTGGGGGGGATCTATGGGCAGGTGTAGCACTTCCTGCAGTTACAGGGAAACGTACTGGGTGTGGTGGGGTTATTGGGGGGG